GAGTTGCAAACAAACTGTATAAGTTGTATAAAATCCGATTTGATCAACAATCGACAGTGCGCATGGATAAATTAATGCAGCCGGTAAGTGCGCATTCAGTGACGGGACATGCCTACATTTCCCGTGATTAATAAAATAATCGTTGCATTTGATATAGCACCTTATCACGTCTTCGAGGTGTCCCGAAGCACCTCACAGGATATATTGTAAAGTGAAGTGACTGTATATTTTGTCGGTTTGACCCTATATCTTGACCCGTTGAGGCACGCTCTCTTACTGGCAAGGTTAGCATCGCATTTATTCGTGGGAAAATTCTTCTCTGCACGCATTGACAGATCAAGATTACGTTTCCCGTGATGCAATGCCTCCGGCTGGTAAGTGTACATGCCTGCCTGTGAGGACGTCATTTCCTGCGATTCAAAGCTGCCGGTTATATAATAATAGTTATATAAGCAGTTATATAATAATAAAGAGTGGGAGTTATGAAGTGTCGGGAGCGCCGTTACAAGTTGTTATGAGGAGGTGAATAATATGAGTACTGCAAAGAAATCTAAGTGGTTTGATAGGAAATTGAATGGGACTCAGGTGACTGATGACTTGGGCGATTATACGATTTATAAAGATAGGACTTATGCAAGTTTAACTATATTACTAAAATTACTGATAAACTGACAAGAATTGCTTCAAAACTGAAGCGTATAATAAAGGAATTTAGGAGAAATAATTGAGAAGACCAATATCATTAAAAATAAACAGATCAAGCAACTACAGTGTGATTTTTGAGCAAATAAATTAAACCTTGCAGTAACATGCTGAGGAACTATGGAAAAAAGTATCACGGCATCCACATAAATTTGAATTGGTACCAGCTCCATTTGTAAATCAAATGTTGTTAATTATGGTATACTATATATTAAAACAGTAAATAACAGAATTAAAACAATCTTGAATTTGCAAACTGTGGACAAGGTAAATCCAAATGATGTGTTCAAGTTTCCAATATATAGAAGCATTACTGCTCTTCCAGAAGTTACTGATAAAAAATAGTTTATAAAAAATAGATTTTGAATGCTCCAATAGTCAGAACACTGTGAAATTCAAACTCGACTCATTGATTATATTAATCTAACACTTCACTGAATTTTATGCATATAGGTGACATATTTTGGTTGTTATCAAACTCCTTTACAGACACAATCATGGCACGTGGACAAACTGACAAGTGCATATTAATTATGTCATTAAGATTTCCCTGAAATCAATTCCTAAGTGCTCACACTGATCATTATGCTCAGTTGACAGGAAATATGGAATGCAGTGTGGAATAGTTAATGGCTTACAGTCAGGTATTCAGTTTTGAAAAATATCTGAAATTAACCCTGCAAAAATAGTTCAAATAAAAAAAAGTGGTTGTTTAGTGATTAAAAACACTCACAATGACACTGTCAATTACTGATGGATAGAGATCAGCGAGACAGATGTATTTTTTTCTCCTTTCTTCTCCGAATGTCTGATATTCTGCTCCTCCATCTTCTCCACAACTTGTGTTCTTTCATCCCCAATATTTGTTCTGTTTTCAAGATCTTCATTCTCACTCCATCTTTCAAGATCTTCCCCCCTTTCCTTTTCCCCCACTTCCACTTTCTTCTATCCTGAAGGAGTTTTGATTCCCTTCTCCTTTTACTTCTGATTTAATGGGCTATACACCGAAGCAGTATAAAATATGTAGTACCCTTAGCTCACTTTTGTCTCCACATTTGAAGAATGTAAAATGTAAAATAAATTGAACCATTCTATTTTGATGGCAATTTCTAAAAAGTTTATTTGGTCTTTCTCTAATATTGATTTCCAGAACGGTCAATGTGAACCTCATTGTTCACTGAAACAACCATCAACCACGAGGACATCAGGAAATGTCACAGGATCACAAGATTGATTAGGATGAAGACACCTTTGGCCAGATAATTCCATATTTTCAGAACCAGAGAACCTGGCAAAAGGACCAGAGGAAAGGTGTGGAGAAATCTTATTACGCAGCGAGTTGTTACGATCTAGAATGCCTGGAAGCAGATTCAACAATAACTTTCAAAAGAGAATTGGAAATATACTTGAAAAAGAAAAATTTGCAAAACTATGGAGAAAGAGCGGGGGAGTGGGACTAATTGGGTACCTCTTTTAAAGAACCAGCACAGGCACGTTGGGCTGAATGGCCTCCTTCTGTGCTGTAAGATTCTGTGATACTAACCCTTCCGTTTTGCCATCATAGCATCAACCATTTTTTTAAAAAAAATGAATCCAATGTCCTAGCCTCAACCATCTTTCCTGACAATCTGTTCCAGTTTTTAAATTATCTTCTGGTTAAAACATTCTGGTGTCTGTCCTGATGTTGCCCTTTGCAACTCTCAACCTATCCTGTCTTGATGTGTCCTAATGTTCTGGGTTTCATTTTTCAATCTCATTTAAAATGTTAGACATGTTTAATCAGTGCACTGTGTAAACCCAGAATAGGGCAGGACAGAATTAAAAATCTAGCAATAGAATTGGGATGCAAAGACTCAAAGTTTAAGTGATACCATTACACACTTAATCACAAGATTTGTTAACTGCAGAATCTGATTCACAGTTAGGGGAGAAACATGGAGAAGGCAAACCTTCTGCATGAGATTCTGAATTAGATACAAAATTCTCTTGATGTGTAGGGTTCATTATTAATTGGTTGGCAAATCTTCTGAAGCAGCAATGCAGCCCTACTTTAGAATGTTTTCCATGTGTGCAAAGCTTATGAAGAGAGCAGATGTCCTGTTTAAAGTTTAATTCACAGATGTAGCACTTGGGGGAAAACATCACTGATGCAATGCCAGACAGAGAAAGGTTGTGATAAACATGATCAAAAACAAAACAGAAAAAACATCAAACTGTAATAGGCTGTAGAAATGCCAGTTAGTTCAATATTTCATGCAACTATAGCACACATTTCTATCAAGGAGTAGGCTCAGTAATATCCTGCATGTCAACAACATTTCTCATACAGTAATTTATATCAATTAGATTCTCCATCCTTGAAATCCAATCTCCATTATTTGTCACTAAAATTAACATTTTTACTCAATAATTACAAACTCATACAATATTTTTCTAACTTAACTTTCAATTTCACTGTCAATGACCCCAGTCAAAATGCTTGTCATGGCTACTTGCAAAGCCTTCATTAGCATAAGGCACATTGGGTTACTTTGCCAGAATTTATAAAATAGTGAGCAGTTGCATCTGAACCAGAATACTTCAACATCCCAAATGTGCTGCAGTGTGATCAAAAGACTCATTTTGAAGTACATCATAAAGAGGTTCAAATGAAGACAGTCCTTCAGCCTTATTAATTTCATCCTTCCAGAATAACAATCCTATCATCATTCAATGCTTCTAAATGAGTTCTAAATGTCCTTGCCTCAAACACACTTCCTGGTATTGCGTTCCAGTTGTTGATTACCCTGTGTGTAAAGAAATACTTCCTGGTATTTATTCTTCAATTAACTTTCACAAACTTAAACCTGTCCCCTCTTGTCCCACTGTCCCGGTATATTGAAAAGGATTTACTTTCTCCATTATATCAACATTTTGTTTTGGTAGATTGTTTGATATTGGGAAGGGTAACTATGGTTGCCAAATGGCCAAGAAATACTGAATGGATTTTTGAGAAAAAGCAAATCTTGAATTTGATCAGTTGCTAAGTTCAAAACATGAATAAATAAGAAATTCATCCAGAAATCATAAATTAACATTGAGGGAGTATAAGAGTGATATGGAGAACATACCACAAGGGATGAACAACTTCAGAGAAGACTGTTGGTGTGATTAAATCTCAGCAGGGTACACAAATTGCCTGCAGTATTCTCTGGTTAGGGAGTAAAATCAGTTTTCAAATCGATTGTGATCAGAAACGTTCTGATGAAGTGTGTGTGTATGTGTGTGTGTATGTGCACGAGCGGGGATATGTGTTCATGAGTGGACTGTTCTTATATCCTTTGTTTCCTTGCTACTGCGTTTATTCTAGTTGAATTTATTTAATGTGAGGCTCCAACTTATTTCTTATATCCGCTTAACTTTGCACTAAAATACATCACTTTCATCAGTGACAGGCGTCCTTTCTTGAAGAGCTTGTAAATTTACCATTGGATAGTTTACGTTTGAGTAATACACTGAGTCAAATCACATTTCTGATGCTTCACGTGATCTGGATTTTTTTGCCACACGCAACTTTCTAATTAAAATATTCATGCAACTATACTATATCTCAGAAGTAACCTCAATTTTTGGCTAGAAACACATTTCTTCTGGATGATAGATTTCTGCATTGACTGTCACACAGGGACTACACTAAGTGGCTTCTTAAAGCACTAGAAATGCAAATTACTTTTCACTGACTTTCATTTGCAATCCATTTCAGTCAGATAAACACAATATAACTGTCTCAATTTATGATTTTCTTCCTCAACTAACAATGAATTCAATGCACAGAGGTCTAACCACAATCAACATGAATGCCTTGAAGATCAACATTCACTGCACTGCTTGCATCAGAATTACTTGGTTGCAGCAAGATGGTAAATGACACAGTAGGTTTTAAATGTCACCCCAGTATTTAATACTACGATTAACACAGACCAGCAATTTATTAGGCAGGTCATTCGATTTGCAACAGCAGAGTGCATTTAACAGTTTAAAAATAAGAGAAACTATAAAAAAGCAAACAAAAAATAAGTTACATAGTCTTAGATTTGCGACAGTTCGACAAACCCTTTTTGTGACAGTATATGAGAATACCAGCCCATATGATCTTGTAGACAATTTTAAGGCCAATGCTAAAATCATTTATATGAAAGAGCCTATTGAGACACTGGTATTCCATGAGCAGTTGTTGTTTCCAGGCAACAGTGCGATTTTAGATCAAACCCAGAATGCAATCATTCCAGTAAGGGTTCAGTGCTTTTCTCAATACTTACTTATTTTGCATCATGTTCATTATAACCCAGTCAGCAGGATAGACATTTTTTCCAATGAGATCTTTGAACATGATGAATGTCTCCATCAGAAAGTCCTAAACCAGGGAGAAAACATGTAGATTGTCATTGTTTTTTTCCAGAAAAGGTCACTCCTTCGCAATATAAACTGATAAATTCACAAATAGATGAGGTATCTTGATGCCTTTTTCAAGTAATTTTATTATTTGATGAAGTTATTCATATATTTTTTGAAAGAATCATCTCCTTCCAATTTAATCCTCATAATTAGAGCTTTCAAATTAAGACAAGTGACTGAATTTACCATTTGTTTCTGGTGTTGATACTTTCATTTTATTGAATAATGGTTTTACACATAATCCTATTATTTTAGGGACTGGTTTTGATGGAGCATATTTATGAACAGAAACTCATTTCATAAATGCTAATAGAAAAGTGGCGTATTCCTGAAAAATGAATTATTTTATGGCTCATTGATTTCCTAGTATTTTTGTATGCTGACGTAGGTCGTTGTGTGTCATGTTTACAGTGTTTCTGGAATTATAACAAGGATCTTAATAAGAATGTGTTTTGTTTTTATGTTGTAGGAGTGTGGCACACAATGTCAAATTGATGCTACATTTCATTTATCACTTCACATAAATTCTATGAAGTGCTTTGATAAAAAAATAAAAAAATAATAAAAAAAATTGGTCATTTTCAATCTACGACTGTTTGTGGGACATTGCTGTGCGCAATTGGCTGCCGCGTTCGCCCACAAATATACAGTTAATTCACTTTACAGTGTGTTCTGTGAAGCGCTTTGGGACGTCCTCCCGACGTGAAAAGCGCTATATCAAATGCAAGGATTATTATTATTATTATTGAGATGTTTCATTGACATGATAAAATGCTATATCAAATACAAGGATTATTAGTATTACTAGACTTTTCTTCACTTTGTGTCTGAAATTCAATTAATTTGTACTGACCTTGTGCATTTGTTGGATACTTTGTTACACTCGAGACTTAACCCACAAGATCTGGATTGCCACCGGAAGAATAAAATGTGTACGCTGGAATAAATCCCTAAACTCTGGTCAAGGTGTTTCAGTGGTCAGTAATTTCAGTGGAATGTTTCAGGATTGCACTCTGAGTAAGGCCAATCTTGCACAAAGGGCTGTGAAATGATGTGTGACCAGGTGAACGATCAAAGAATCTGGAGGACAGCTGGACAGTTTAGCATCTTGAAAAGATGCATCTTTGAAGATGAAGCAATCCCTCAGTACCAAAGTGTCAGCCTGAGTTACAAACTTACGTGACAATGTAGGGGCCTGAACTCTCACAATCTTCTGATCCAGAAGCAGGAATGTTACCAACTGAACCAAGCTGATATACACACACAATACTATAAAGTCTAAACAACAGTTTCATTGGAGCTAAGTGACTTAGACTATTTTTTCAAATTAACAAAGACAGTACAACATAAAGAAGAAGTTTTAACATTCGAGACAGTGTTTGCAATAGCTGAAATCGAGTTGTGCACCTGTTCAATATTCCAAGTCAGTCATTTATGGAAAACAAATGTATAAATATTGTAATCGCTGGAACAAAATTAGCCAATTGTTCTACTTACCACAACATCTGATCGTATTTTCCCAAAGGTCTTGATTAAATGGGCATAATGATAATCCTCCATCTGCCTGAGGATTGCGGTCATGCAAGCAACAAAATTGCCCTGGAGCAAAAAGGAAGTGATGCGTTATTATTGTTGAAATCACAAAATCAATGTTACCTTTCCATTTGACAATGCTCCATCAATTACATAATCCACTGGAAACATCTCTTTTAATCTGAACTCCGAACTCCTTCACTGGGGACCAATGGTGCAAAATACCAAATAGCTGAAAATAATAGTAAAATCCTTCTTTGGTGTCTTTGACTACCGCAACTATAATGGTAAATCCCATTAATTGCCGAACATCTCCAAAGGCGATGCACATAACACTGAACCCAATTTTTATCCATCGGTTCCCTATGTATTCACAAATTGTGATCTTTCTAATAAAGCAACTATCACTTGATTTTAAAATCTACGGGAATTTAGCCTTGCATTTTTGATCCTTGTGTTCAAACCTTTTGCATGTTTAAATATTCCTTGAATTTATACTTGGATCAATGGACAATTTTCTCAATCGTTGCAAGACCTATTTACGTTGATCTACTTGATATCCGTCTGAAGTTTTACTGTCTTTCAAACACACAGCCACACAGAAACTTAGTTTCAACAAGTTTTTTGTTTCAACAAGCAAAAATTAATGAAGATGATTTATGGCTGTAGGTTCATGTTATCATAATAAGTGTTGGAACATTAAGGTGTTCCAGAAATAATTCTCTTACACTGTAGAAAAAAATCTATCCAAATCTAAAATATTAAAAACACTAATAAAGCATGTGCCTTTTCAAAAATAAACAATCTTGTTGCAACATATTAAAACCTGAGTGTTTTTTAAAATCAAATGATCAGAAGCAGCTATAATCCCAAGATATCTAATATATAGGAAATATTCACGTTTGGCGAGTTTGCAATAAAACATGAATACATTGATAGTTCAATGTGTGCTCATTTTTGAGAGAATCCCAAAGGATGAGAAAAAATCATTTCAAGTTGGTTTAAAAAGCACGAACATAAATTTCTAAATTATTAACACATCACTGCTGACTCAATTGCATACAATGTTAGGAGCCATGGCAATGTCCCATCATCATGAAGCTCCATCTTGACAGCAGCCTGTGGTCTTAGTTGCACCTAAGTGGTTGTCTGCCAGCTCCAAGCATGCAAAAATAAATATAACTTTACATAACTAACTCACAAATTATAGTGTGGATGCTTCACTAACATAATGCTCTCTCTACCCAAACTCTACTGAATGTCATCTCCTGTTCCTTGGAACTATTGTCAGCATTAAACAAAATAAGCTGTGAAATCCAAATTGTGGTCTGTTTTCCGAAAATAGTATAATATAAATATGTACTGGATCTCAATTATTATGACTCTTTTTAAAGAGTATGCACTAGACCGATGTGTGGATGATTAATACCTGTGTATGTATAAAATTGTGAGGTTTGAATCCTGCAGGAACTTTCAAAATAGTCACAACTAGGAACAAAACTCGTTCAGGAAAGGTTTTCAACATCGAAGGCCACAAGTCTTCCTCCTCTCCTCACTAAAAATGCTGGATGAAAGCAAGATATAAAGCACGGGAACAACAGTTTCCATTTCCTCAACTGCTTGCTAGTCAAACACTTGTTCACAGTTAGACAACGCACAATATTCCACCTGCAGACTTGTCGAGAAACACGTGGTATCTCTTCTCTCCCCTTCCCCCAACTCAAGACGAAAGTAAAATCTTAAGGACAAGCTTCCCAAGGACCTTCCTCCCAGCTTTTGGGCATTCATAATGACTACTGTTCTACTGCTATCAAGGGTATACATAACAGATATAAACAAAAGCATCATCATCATGACAGCTCAAGCAAGCTTCCAGAGAGCCACTAACTAATTAAGACTGACAAGAACTGAACTGAATCTCCCAACGCTGGAGATCAAATCATCCTCACAGGAAACAAGACACTCACCTCCTAAGACAGAGGAAGGAGAACAACCAAAATTAGACTCCCTCCCACACAGCCAGAAAAAAAAACTTGAGAACATGAACCTGTCAGCTCTTCCTAATTTCCAAAAAGTCCCGAGTCTCCCTATCAACACTGAAAGATATTTAAAAGATGTCTTCCTTCTAAGCAATACATTCCTACTGCCAGAAATAGCTAGCACAGCATTCCCACAAATTGTCTGGAGTCCAAACGCTATATCAAACGCAAGGATGATGATGAAAATCGCTACCCTTTCCCCACTCCTTGGGGTGAACACAACAAACAGTAGTACAAAACCAATAGAATCATCCATAGGCCGGTCATAAGGGAACAATTGTCAAATGCCTGTCATTTCTAAGTTATATTGAAATAATAATGTAATGTTATGTCCACTAATGTGATGTACTGTAATAATAATAATAATAATCGTTGCATTTGATATAGCGCTTTTCACGTCAGGAGGACGTCCCAAAGCGCTTCACAGAACACACTGTAAAGTGAATTGACTGTATATTTGTGGGCGAACGCGGCAGCCAATTGCGCACAGCAATGTCCCACAAACAGTCGTAGATTGAAAATGACCAATTTATTATTGTTTTTGGTTTTTTGGAGGGATTATTATCAGGCGTGTGGAGTAAGGAAACTTGCCCAAGGTTTCGCTCTGCCTGGAATTGAATTCAGGTCTCTCACTTGCAAAGCGAGTGCTCTAACCACTGAGCTACAGGACTCCACCTGTACCTGTCTCGCATTTGCAAAGGGAAAAATAAAAAGTTAAAATGGTTAAATTATAATGTTGCACGGTACTAATGGTACAATCATAACACAGTGTGTCATCATTCAACATAGGAAATAACTGTGATTGATTGAGGTGTACAAAGCAACTTTTTTACTACAGCAAATACATGAACACACCATGGAATAAAGCCAGTAAATCTAGCATGCAACACAAAAGCTACTCTATGATTTAGTTAATCCCATCAGTCACAAGAGATTGTAAAGGGCTAGATCTTCTGAAGCTGACCTTAATACCACAACACATTCAGAATAGAGACAGACAATCATCAAAAAAAACCTTTAACAAATGTAATATTTTCTATAAAACATGTATATTTATGGCCGTGTTACACTAAGGTTAAACGTATGCAACTAATTTCTGTTGCAACTCTAAAGAAAATGCATTCATGTGGATTTCCGCTCAAGTCTGATTACCACTCTCGTTCATCAATTCGTGTTCTGAAGGTACCTATTCATGTAAAATATGTATGAAACAAGCTGAAAATTGCTCTGGATGGTAGTAGCTTGGATAGTTGGGTTTTTGAATGCAAGACCTATTTTCTATTAAAATACTTTTTTCTATGTCAGAGGGGGCAAAAATCAGTATTCCTTATTAGTCCTCAGGCATCGCTATTAGACTGAATTGAACGCTGTAATTTACCCAAGCATTTTATAAAAATAAGTGCGGAGAGGATTCTGGTAGAAATTCACCAACAAATTAAAAACACCTGCAATTAAATCTAACAACATGATTCATTTTAATTTTCACGCTTAAAATGAAACAAAACAGTTGATGCAAAGCACATTGAACTAATTCATAGTTATATCAAGGTCCTTTAACAGGTGATGAGAAATCTCCATTTGCAAACTTTGTAATTGGTGAATTCATGCATTTTATTTAAAAGGAGAATGAACTAATTCCCAGATATTAAATCTCAAGTATAATTAGCAGTTGCACTCTAAAGATTATATGAGAAATGATTAACGCTTATCTAAATAGTACAGTGGCTAAAGAAGTAAACGGGTATTTTGAAACAATAAGCCTCATTGATCCATTCACATCAGTCAAATTGTAGATGACAGGAGGAAAATAGAAGGATTTGGTTCAGAACAGACCTAATATAAAGCATTTGTGAAGAATCTAACTTGGTCAGAATAGCCGTACAATAGTATAAACATCTTAAAGTGACAAGGTGCTTCAGCCTTGTTCAATGATGGCATATCTGATTTATATTTGAGCATCGCATGACTGAGAAAGGTGATATGTGGTTACTATAGTTGCAACTGTAAACGTTCTGATTGCTTTTATACATTCAATAGGTTTGTAAATATTTCCAAAGTTTTACTTATGTACAAATAGCTTTAAAAAGCTCACATCAAGATTCTGTCATTAAATAGCGTTTCACAAGTTTCAATTTTTAAAATTGTACATAAATAATCTCAAATTAACATAATAACCCATACCTAAACTAAAAAAGCACAATATCCCTAAACAACGATACTCAGACTGTGTACAGACTATTTTTCTTCGATTTGCTATTACTGATGCTTGTTTATGCTCCAATATTTTCATCATAATATTTTTGAGAAATGATTGCTACATTTTCTTGCTGAGTTACAGTACCAACTGTGTCAGTGATGGAGCCAACATTCAACAAAGCATAAAATAATGCAGATTGATAATATCCAGTGCATGCTGATTCAAAGAGATAGATTTCATTGATATATGTAGGTTATTAAGCCAAACATTCCACGATTGCACTTGGTAATGCACAGATACATTTCAAGGATTGATTTATCTCATTTTAAAAAGGACTGCTTAATAAGGTGTGAATCTGAGAGAGAATCATATTATTTCTCTGATATAGATACATGTAAAACTAGTTGGTACCGTTTCAACAAATCCTTCCTTTACAATGCAGATTACAAAAAATTGACAGATTCCATTTTAAAATGTAATCATGCTCCTGAAGTGTCTCCTAAGATGCTCTGAGAGATGATGAAACCGAGACTCGGGAGTTAAAATTATCTCATCATCCACTGCAATTGGAACAAATAGCCAACCGAAGTATTGATGAACTAGAAAACGACATTGATTCGGAGAATGGAAGCGTGAAGCCACCACTACAATCAGACAGAGATTACAAAATAATGAGATGATAATACCAGGTTTGGGTAAGTTTAGACTTTCAACAATTTTACAAGACTGTTCTTTGTGGAATCCCCTATATGTCAGACAAAAAAAGCTTTAACATTTGGAACACAAAGACACTTGGAAAATACAGCTCCTCAGTTGATGATGTGCAGAAT